GGGGGGAACCATCAGGGCCAAAGGCGCCTGGAGGTCCCACCCCCTCCCCTTGAGGGCATTCCTGTTGCCGAAGAAAAGGCCTGTGACATGGCCCAAGTCCTGAGTAGTGTAGGTACTTGCACTTAAGACCGTTCCCCTCAGGGCCCAAGGCACATGACCTCAAGAAAAGCTACAGCAGCCAGAAGGGAGAGGAGACCCCCTTCAGGGCCATAGGCACCTGGCAGGGGTTCCCCCTCCACATGCCTTGTTCAAAAAGAAAACAGGGCTCAGGCCGGGCGGACCCGGGATGCCGCAAGCTCGTGGATCTTCTTGAGGCCATCCCGCTCCGGGTTGGAGAGCACCACCGACCAGATCATGTCGGAGACCTGGCCCATGAGGTTCGTCTTGCTGAACCGGAGCCTGGAGCTAAGGCTCGGGTTGACCCGGAGCGAGCGATCACGGGGGGCCGCCGTGGGCTCAACCCTCTTGTAGAACTCGATCCGGTCCTTGACCCAGGACTCGTAGAGGTGCTGGGGGGGCTCGTCCAGGATGAGCTGGAGCTGGGCCGACTTCCCTTTGTGTTCCCCCGTGATGAGAAGGAAACGGCTGGCCCCTCTGCCACTTCGCCAGAACCCTTTGCAGTGGCGGCAAACGTAGCCCCCACGAGTCTCACCCTTCTTCTTGTCGACGATTTCCCATGGGGAAACGGAGCTGAGGACCAGGCCACACTCCATCTTGGCCCAGAAGACGTGGGCCGTCTTATCCCCCACGTTCTTCTTCTTGTAGTCGTCCGAGGCCACGCTCGTGACATTGTCCGGGGTGATGGGCGGGAGAGAGCGCTCCTGCTCCGACCCCGGGTCCAGGGGGATCCTTTCAGCGCCAAAGGCAGCTGAGGAGTCCCTGTCCCCCAAGCCGAGGCCTTTGATGTGGCTCTCCGAGTAGCCAAGCTTGCGGTAGATGGGGCCGGCGTACTCCGGCTTGAGGCGGGCTGTCCACCACTGCACGGTGTTGCAGCGCCACGCCATCTTGACCTCCACCACCGACTCTTGACCCAGCGAGTTGGAGAGCAAGTTGTAGATCTCCGGGAAGTGCCGGAAGGCCTTCAAAGGAAGGGTGATCCTTTCGTCACATACGGCTCTCAATCGCATGTGCTGCTTGGAGTCGTGGATGTCAGCAACAGGGAGATCCAAGACCACCTGCGGCGTACGGTTGATGAAGACCTTGGCAGCGAAAAATGAACCGATCTCGCGGTAGAGCTGCTTCCACTCCTGGTTTGTCGTGGGCACCGGGAGGTCGTGCAGAATCACAAACTCTTTGGCCTCCTTCATCAAATCCCGGTGGTCGTCTCGTCGCTGCAGGTTCTGCTGCTTGTTCTTGGCCCCTCTCTTGTGGGACCTGACGGTGATCGGCAGGTGGCTCCACACCGCGTAGAGGTGCCTGGCCGAGTAGGTATGGCCGAAGCAGGAGAAGAGGCTAACCAAGTCCCACGTCTGCACCTCCTTTCTCCAGTGGGTGTTCCCGTCCCCCTCAGCATGGAACGGGCCGATGATCTTATCCAGGGGGGGCCTGGTGCCCATTGCAACCTGTGCCTCAATCTCCTCCATGGTGAGGGCAATCGGCTCGAAGAAGGGCTGCCTGAAGGAGCTGGGGTGTGTCCTCATCTCCAGCATGATCTTCTCCCCTTCGGGCAGGGGCTTTGCCCACGTAGGGGGCTCAAGGGGCGCTGGGGATGGAAAGCCCTCGTCTCCTGGCTTGGTTGCCAGTCACCCCGGAGGTGGGGTCTGTCCCCTGCCTCCTTGTCGGCAAACTGCACCTCGTCGAAGGGCTGTGTTGCCACCGTGTGAGCCAAGCTAAGCCTCAGGGCCATAGGCACCTGGTCGGCGAAGCTCAGCTCCTTCTGATCCGTGGGCCTGGGTGGCGGCTGGGCCCAAGAGCCAATGTCCACGGAGGCGGCTTCCTTCTGGGCCTCGTCTGCATCCGTGTGCCATGTGACACCCTGGGGGCCACAGAACATTCGCCAGGAGGACTGGCCTAGCTTGATCTCTGCCGAAGGCGGGCCCTTGTCCACGGCGATGACATACTTCTGGCAGAGCTTACACTTCCCCTCCACCTTGTTGTCCTGCCTCTGCCAATCCGAGAAGCAGTTCGGGCACATGAGGGTAGCCCCCGTGCTGCCCGGGTCAAGTTGGCCCATGCTGCTGTGCCCCACTCCTCTGCGAGCACGGTTGTAGGGGGCGGCCAGCATCTTCTCCTGTGCCAGCTGTCGTAGATTTGGTACACCTCAAGGACTCGTTCCACAGCCGGGCGGCTCCACTGCTCCGCCTTGAGCTCGGAGAACAAGGAGGCGATCTCCTCCTTTGTCAATTGCTGGGCCCAGTCTGCACTCTTCTTGCCGATGCCGGGGAAGTTTTCCGGGAAGCCCTCGATTCTGAAGACCTTCTCCTCCAGGGTGCCGGCGGGCAGGGCCGAGTAGGGCCGGGGCTTGTTGGCATCGTCCTTGGCCACCGTGTCGCCGCCCTCAGGGACAAAGTCACCTGTGGTTGGCACCTCGGGCCTGTCCATGGGGTCATCCGTAGCAGCACCCTCAGGGACAAAGTCACCTGTGGTTGGCACCGCCGGCTTGTCCATGGGGTCATCAGTAGCAGCACCCTCAGGGACAAAGTCACCTGTGGTGGGCACCTCCGATCCCGTGGTGTCCATGTCCTTGGACAAGGGGGTGTCTTCCTTGACCGCCACCATCTCGCTGCCCTTGGCCAACAGCCTTTTCATGGCAGCTTCCATTTCCTGGAGTCGCAAGTCCATGCTGGTGTCATCCACCTCCAAAGTCGTGAAGGAGGCCAATGCCGAATTGGCCGACTCATCCTCGTGGGCATGGACATTGTGGGCCAAGGTAGCACGAGCCAAAGCGACTTCGTCGTCTGGCTTTTCCCATTCCTGATCACTGTCCCCTGTGTCGCGAGGGGGGATCAAACTCTCAACCGTCTCCATGCTGGAGGCCAGGACGTCATCGACATTAGCAACGGGGGTGAGTGCCATGATCGACAGTCGCAAGGGAGAAAGCGGGAGCGGTTTCAAATTATGAAGGACCCACGGTCCACGATCTTGGGCCAAAATGGCAGAGCCATTTTGGCAGACGTCTCCTGACATAAGTCTTGCAAGTCGGCAAGCTTTGTTGCAAGTAACTAATGTCTACATGTACAGCAGGTCCACTTACAGCGTGTGCTATACTTATACATATATATATATATATATATATGTATATATATGCACTTACATATGCTGATAGACTATGTGCATACGTACATACATACCCACATACAAGCCTACCTACCACATACATGCGTACATACATACATGCATCTGTACTTGTGAGCATGCATGCATGCATCCACCCACCCACATACGTCCATCCATCCATCCCTCCATCCATCCATCCGTCCATGCATGCATGCATGCACTGGTGCAGACATTCATGCATTCATACAGTACCTCTCTGCCTGGGACACCCAAGTTAAGTGCAAAGTCCAAGATACGGTAAATCGCACTCACGCCCTAACCCCAAATCCTTCGAAGCGAGATGTTGCTTGGCTCTCGGCTCAGCAGCTCCTGCACCTTTGGCTTCAACTGCCGAGGCAGCCGCTGTTCGGCCTGGCGACTTCCAGAAGAGAATGAAGGACAAGAGACAGAACTGGAAGTTAAAGATTTGAAGGTCCAGGAGTCTAGGACCAGTCTAGGATGTGTGGTTTTGACCTATAGTTCGTGCGAACGGCGCGTTCAGGGAGAGTGCTTCACTGATGGCACAATCCAGCGGCCACGGGCCTGATCCTTCTGCCTCCTTGGATGACACTGAGATGTCCGTGGAACAGATCAGTAATCCGGGGGGAAGAAGGCTCAAGGATCATGAGCTGCCCAGCGAAACTGATGCTAACGAACGATCGTGTTCTGCCAAGGCACTCAAAGTGTCGGTCGTAGACCGTGGCGATGCAGTGATGACAGGGGGGGTGCCCCACATGTTGCCTCAGGACTTGCGGCCCAGGAAGAGCCAAAACCCAAGACTCACCGCATCGAGCATGAGACTGATGAGACTTGGTACAGGGAAACTCCGTAGCTTCCCAAAGCCAAGCTGCCGGATCACTGCAAAGGAGACCTCGTCGTCGAGGACGGAGACTGTCAAGCTGTCCTGCTGAGTTGACATCCAGCCCCAATCCAGCGAGGATCGGAGCAGCAGGCTCTCCTGCGAAAAGAAAAGCGATCACCGATCACACTCTTACAGTAACTTCTGGTCAGAGACAGAGACGGTCCGCAGCGGCAGACTCCTGCCAGGCCGATGCCTCCATGCGAGTCGATCTTTCCGCTCTTGGGCTCATCGGCTTGTAGCTTTCCCGCGATCTACTGGAGCCGCGTGTGCCCGGACGGCTAGACCAAGCTCCTCGCTGAGACAGGAGAGGGCCAGGGCGACATCCCCTGCCAAGGCCTTACCCCTCCTGCCTGCATGGCCTTCATCACAACATGCAACGCACGGAGGCCTCCTAGCAGTCGTTCCCGCGGCAGCGTCAGCGGCAGCGGCGTGAGGCGTCCGCGCCGCCGGGGAGTGGAAGCGAAGCCCTGAGAAGAAAGTTCTTAGAGCGGCTTCTCGGCTTTTCGGCTTTGGGCTCGAGATCTTTCGTCCTCTCTGGCATGGGAGGCGCCTCCGCCAGGCCTTGGCCTTTGCTTGGGCTTGGGGATGCTGCCGAGGCGGAGCCATCGGAGTCCAGGCCCAGGCTCATCGAAGGAGGCCTTTAGATTTTAGATGAGTCCTGCTCATAGAAGAGTGGAAAGGCTGATGTCCTGGCTACTGCACGGATGCCATGGCTTCTTATGATTGCAGATTTGGTCGATACTGCTTCACATCCCAAAGTAACTTCTGAGACGTCTCACCGTACCGTATCTGACCATGAAGTCTCACTTGAGCCGCGGCCCGCGAAGATTTGGGAACGTCCCCATGAGTTGTGAAGAGGCTTGGGAAACCAAGTTGGCTGCACCTCGTAGTCTGCACGCAGTTGCACCACCTGCCAGAGGAATGAGAGAAGGAGAGGCCATGACTGCTTCGCTGCTTGGACCTCGCTCGGCTCGCCGTGCTGCTCCACTCTTAGCGGCGGCGCTTCCTGGCTCACAGCGCAGAACCTAAAGACCTAAGGCTCCACCCACGGCCAATCGGAAGCCTGAGGGACTTCGTGGGGCTCGCGTCCGTTGGCCGCGAGGTCCGGTAAAGTCTCAGCCTGAGAGGTGCCCCGAGCAGAACAGAGTCAACGCTCACGAGAGCGCGCCTCCTCAAGTTGTTCGTCCGGCTGCCCGCCATGGTCAGGTCCGCCGTTCGCGTGCACCGCTGGCTCTGGCATGGCTCCCTCGAAGACCTCCACGGCCTGGCTCGGGGGTGTCGACACTGAAGGCTTCACTTGGCAAGCAGAACCGGATGCGCACCAGAACTCCTAGAAATGAAAGGTGCTGCCTTCAGGGATTCTTTTCAACGGCTCCGATAGGCAAGAGTAGGAAATTGTGATTTCGGCCCCTGCCAGTTTCTCGCACTCTCCTACGTGAACGTTGCTGTGGGATGTTCTGGGAGCATACACAGGCGAGCGTGTTGCACGCCCTGCCCTGTCTGTCGGGCCGAACTGGGGCTTTCAGTCTCCTGGCAGCTGGTTTCCGAATCCCGAGGAGAGCCCTAAGACCAAGCCCTGAAGCCTGAACCGGAGAGCAGGGCGGAGCGGGGCCTCGCTACCGTGGCCGTTGGATTGCTCCGCCGGTGTTTCCAGCCGGGGCTCCTCGGGTCCCGGCGGGGACTTCAGGGGCTCTGGAGGGTTGGGATATGTTGGGATGAAGGGGCTCAGAAGATGAAGAGACGGAAGTTCTTTCCCTCATGCTGCAACAGCTTTCAGGCTCTGCTCCTCGGGCCAGGCTGGGGCGACCTGCCAGCCAGGGCCCAAGCTCCCATAAGGGTCCACTGCACCGATGCATGATGATGTATCCCGCTTTTGCGACAGTCGGCTCGCCGCAGAGCCTCCAAAAAGCCGGTCCTGAACCTTTCAATTCCTCATGAGCCCGGGTCCTGGTGTCAGGGTGCAACTCCGAACCCCCCCCAACCCTGCACCAGCTGCCTGTGCATCTGTAGGCTGCCGGGTCGACTCCACTGGGATCAGGTCCTGCCAACCGTGCTCCGCCATGCTCTCTGCTCCGCCCTTTTGGCCCAGCCTTTGCTCGGCCTCGACAGACTCGACAGGTGCCAGCTGATGCTCAGCTGGCGTGAGCCACTTCTGCGCCAGCTGCGGATTGGCCTGGAGATCGGTGCCCAGGCCCCGGGCGCACGCGTGACGAGTTCGGCCTCCGGGTTCTCCAGGCTCTCCCGCGGCTCTGAAGTCCCAAGGAGATCATCTGGAAGCACCTGCCACAGCCAAAGCACTCATGGACCTGGCCATGATGCCTCTCTCCGGCTCGCGTGACGTTGCGTCGTTCAGACGCTTCATGCACCACAGCATCGGAACTTTCCACACGGGATGAAAAGCCTCGATGTGCGCGGTGTGGAGCGCTGGCTCCGTCTGCCGAGCTTGCTGGATCTCGGGGGCCGGTACCACCTTTCACGATGCCCCAAACGGCCGTGGTGGAGAGTAAAGTTCAAGAACGGCTCAGCTCTTCGTCGGCTCAAAAGCAATTTCCTCTCCCCCACACAACATCACAAAATCCAAATGAAGGCTTCCACGGCCTCTTCAACCGCTTCCTCGACACGATGATACTCCTCAAAGGGTCTTGGTGGCTTATCACCCCCTTCCCAATCGGTGAAGTCTTGCGTGACATTTGCAAATTCACGACATCAGCCCATGCGCTCATCATGCCATGCCGTTTCCTTTGCTCCTCCTTCACTACCAAGCGAAGAAGTCTGCAGTGAAACGAAACGGAGATGCCCGGAGGCTTACTTGTGAGGGTTCAAGTTCGGAGGTCTGCCGTGTTGCATCTTGGTCGTGGCAAGCTTGCCTTATTGGGTTCCGAACTGCCTTGTAAGAACCCACGCAAACCTCTCAAGTCCCTGGCTGGTGCCAGACCTTGCCTTCGGCAAGGCCTTGCATTGAGCATAGATCCCTGGCTTGCTTGATAGGCCATTCGGCATAGCGCGCATTCTAAACTTGCGATGCTAGTGATGTTCAACAACTTTTCGTTTCGCGCCGGCTACCGGCATGTTACCTGATGATAAATTTCTGTTATGGAGAGGCTCGAAGAACAATTCACGTTTACGTCGCACCAAAGCAGTGCAAAAGGCTGCGTCCATCACTGCCCGGGGCTCATGTAGTTGCATCGCCTTCTGTAGAAGCCTCAACACTCCGATGCACGGGTGCTGTGTCTGGAATCCAAGTAGGATGTCATTGCCTGAGTGGGCACATACTGGCGCTGGGCTCCCTGCACTCATGATCCCCGGGGAGCAAGTCGTTCGTCCTACCAATCTCCAGCTCTGCAATACCTTGGACACCGAGGGCTTCTTTTCAGATCTGGCAATCAAAGGAGTGCCTGAGGCCTGGCCCCTTTGCGGTCCAGTGGCTCATTGTCGGCGTTGAGTGATTACGCTTCACCGTCCCAAATTCAGAAACGTAGCCTGAGCTGCACATGCCGTACACGGAATACAACAGCCCACAAACGCATGCAAGGGCCGATGTTCTATCTGCGGCCACCGGACTGCTCTTCTCTGGTGGACCTTCCCACTTCGAGATGAAGCCCAAGTTGGGCTTCGGGAGAAGGATCTGGCCTATCAACGGGTCTCCTAGAGTATTATATTGATATGTAAACGGTACATAACATTGTAGCTTATATGCTTTTATATCTTGTGAAACATGCCATATTATGTTTGCAAGAAGACGAGCTGTGGGCTGCACGGCACAGGGAAAGTCTGCTGCCTGCTTTCGCCAAATCCTGCGGGTGCGAATGGTAGCTGACCTGGGCACTGCAGCTGATGATCCAAAACGCACCAGCACTGCGGCTCATCTCAAGGATGCTGGGAAGTGTTGAAGTTCTGCCAAGATGCGTGTGACAAAGGTCGCGTCTCCAACAGATCCGTCATGCCTCTGACATCACTGTCGAGATTGCAACAGATACTAATGACTGCAGCGAAGCCAGCAAACCAATCAACAACCACAACCGGACCACGAAAGAAGAGGAAACAAAGACTGAGCAATGCCTGCCTGTGATGGTGTGAGTCCTCGCGTTCGTGGGCTTCACACTCTTCATCTTGGCAGATCTCAGACGGCTGCCAGTGTAACCTTGGCCACTTCTCGGCATGTTGTCGAATGCAGGATGTGGACGGTTCATAAAGCTTACAGATCGAAAAAGATGGTGCCTACTGATGTTGCAACAGACAACATCGCACAGATGGAAAGAACAATATCGAGATGAAACCGTACAAAATGACACTAGTTTACAATCTTGAAAACCTATTCATGATAAACAGTCTAGCAACTTAATGTAAAAAACAGACCGTTGACGTGAACGTGTGTGTATATGTAGAGTGACAGAGAGAAGCGATATGCCAAGGAAACATGTAACAACCTACAAGTAACGCACAAACGTATACGCCCGCACCAAGACGTATGGAGGTATAATGCGGAACGACTGAACTTCTGCACTGACATATATTCATAAACATCTGCATATATATATATATACTATGATGTGACATATGCTATCTCATACATGAGTCGTCTTGCAAAAGCTTATGATGTTGAGTTTTCCTCATGAGCATGTGTTTTTGCGAATGTTTGCATGACGCACACACACACACACTCATAGTCAACATCGACAACAAGTTTAAACAAACAATCAAAGTGCAGACCGTCATCAGCATCACCGCCCTCATCATCATCACCATCACCATCACCATTACCGTCGTGTTTATCCGGAAGCACTAGTCCGTTACGTCTCTGCGGTACGGAATAACATGAAGTGCGGACTTCACGGATGCATCACCTTTTTCACGGTTGGCTCAAGCAGCTCGGTCTGTGGCCCGGCTCGCGGATCTTCCGGAACCGGGCAACCGGACGAGCTACGGGATATATATTCGGTAACCGGGCAGATCCAGAGGATAGTCCCGGAACCGGAGAACAAGGCGGCTGGGTTAACGGCCTACGGAAGTGCAGACGGAAATCCAGCTGAAAAACACAGAAGGTCCAGAAAGTATGGATGGACCACCGAACGGAGGCGACAAGGGGACGGTGGCGGGAAACTTTAACTAGCTGAACCGTACCGGCTGAGATGGCACGGACGGGCAGCTTAAGTCGAACGGCTGCGGTAGGACTTGCCGTTGCGATGCTTCCGGAATAAACAAACCACGAACATTCGAATCCCCGTTTATCCGGAAGCACTAGTCCGTTACGTCTCTGCGGTACGGAATAACATGAAGTGCGGACTTCACGGATGCATCACCTTTTTCACGGTTGGCTCAAGCAGCTCGGTCTGTGGCCCGGCTCGCGGATCTTCCGGAACCGGGCAACCGGACGAGCTACGGGATATATATTCGGTAACCGGGCAGATCCAGAGGATAGTCCCGGAACCGGAGAACAAGGCGGCTGGGTTAACGGCCAAACTAGTTAGTCCCTTGAGGTGGGGGACTACCCGAACCGGGGGAAACCCAGCCACATTTAGAAGTCCATAGCCGGAAAAAGGGACAGGTTCAGGGCACTCGACGGATGGTATGAAGGCCGAGGAGGCCGAGAGATGAGGGCCCACGGAATATCCACCCGGTCACAAGGTCGGAGTCCAAAGGTGGCCGGGTCAGCACCTCGGCTAAGACCGTCGGCAACAGTGTTCTGGAAACCCGGAACATGGTCAATATAAGTAGATATGCAGAATGCACGCTGCCAGGCAAAATAGGCCGGAAGGAGGGAACAAATTCCCCGGGCAGTGGAGAGGCCTTTCCACGAGGCAGAGTCGGAAGGGGAATTGTCACAGCGGGTGACAACGTGGATGGGGTGAAGGGAAACCGGAATCAAGAGACCAATCACCCAAAGGAGAGCGATCTGTCCGAGAAGTTCCCAGGCAGCAATGCAGGCTTGCGGAGAAGTGCCAACCGGAAACCAGGGGAATAAGGCAGCGAGCTCCGAAGCGGAAAACCGCTGTTGAAACCAGGCAGTCTTGCCGGAAGGAAGCGTGACGAAACCACCGATGCCGGCATGCTGTGCATCGGCACAGGCGTCCGCGAAAGCCTGGCAGGGGAATTCACGAGCCAGGGGCAGCGGGAACGTAGGGGCAGCATCGGCGAGGCAAGCGTGCCACATGTCCAGCACCGCCAAGGATTCTTTGGAAAGCTTCCGGTCGGATTCAGGTGGCATACGCACGGAACTCCAGGTGCGGCGTTCGCCAGGAAAGGACACCGGGACCTGGGAAAGTGAGGATACCTCACGGCCCGATACCGAAATCAGTGTGCATAACTTCGGACAGGATGCGAGACCCACCTCAGACTGCAGAACAAGGTGTGAGTCAAGCTTGGAGCGGAAGGAAGCCCATTTCTCCGGACTCAGAGCAACATGTACGACAGGGGGCTTGCCCTGGTCGGAGTACAGGGGAGCCAAACTGGGACGAAAAGGCCGAAACAGGGAGCAGACCCACAGTAGCTTGCCGGTGAGCTTGCGGAGAAGATGCAGCGGGACAGAATCTGACCCCCGGATTTTGGCCAGGAGGTCCCGCAGCCGGTCAAGCTTAGGAGCTTCCATGGTGGCAGAAAGGGAGTGGAGGCAGATAGACCAGCCAATCCACGTCGGCCGGGGGCCCAAGTAGGCCTTATGCCAGCTCATCGGAACGCGGAGAATGAGCAACATGATGCACATCAATGCTGCCCACACCGGGCCGGACGGGCCGGATAGCAGAGCAATCAAATCGTCAACATATATCAGCAGGCAATGCTTGACAAAGACCAGGCGGTGAAGTAGACGGGTCAGCAAGCCGGCCATCCGGGACCAGTAGAAGCCAGAGGCGCGTGCGCCAAAGTTAAGCGTTAAGCATTGGTACAGCCGGTTCCGGTGAAAGAAACACAAAAGGCCACGGTCGGAGTCACGGATTTTGATCCGGCGGTGGGCTTTGCTGACGTCCAAAATCAACGCGATGAGCCATTCTATGGCGTGCTCCGGCGGAAGGCACTGGCGAAGACCGGAGATGGACGGATTTGCGGACTTGTTGGGAAGTGAGGTGTGTTCGGTCACACCGGAAACACTGCTATCGACGACCAGTCGATCCGGCCGGCCGGGGGATTTGACCAAGCCCAGCTTCCCAACAGCAGTCTGCTGGTAACGGGCTGTAAGCTCGTCCAGTCCACCGGGAACTTCGCGCACCCACCCTTCTGAAATCTCTTCGGAGAGAAGGCTATCCACGGATGCTTGATCCGACAAAGCGGAGCCCCAAGAAGAGGAACAATGTGTCAAGTCCATAGTGGGAGCGGACTGTCCGGCCGGGGGAAATAGGGTCGGACAGGAAGGCATCTCGGAATCAACGCCCAGGGGGACACCCTCAGTGAGCAAGTCCACAAAGGAGGTGTCGGGATCCTTGAAGACAGACAACAGCGCTTCCAACAGAAAGAGGCGGAAAGGTTGTCCCGGCGGGATGGACAAAAGCGTGTCAAAGTCCGGGGCGGACAGCCGAAGGAAGGATCGAAGGTCCTCAAGGAACGGGGCCAATTCTGGGTCCGACAGCGGAGGGGCCTTGGATCCGGAGGACAACTTGGCCTGGAACTGGGACAGGAAATCCCCTGAAAGAATGCGGGCA